CAATATTATCGTTTATCGCAATAAATTTTGAGACAATTAATCGCCCAGCAAAATTTGTTATCGTGACAGGCCTACCCTGAACATCCACTCCGCTGGTTTATTAAAACCAGGTACAAAGGTCCTGGGATGGTCCAGTTAAAGGCCAGACCTCAGTTCAGTATCTCAGTTTTGATTTAAAGATTGTTGGATGCAATGAAGAATGAACAAAGATTCTAGATTAGATGGAYCAGGTTCATGGAGACAGACCCTGAAGAGACCTGACGTTAAAACTGTTGAAGAAGGTGACAACACTAATGATTGACTTTGAGGTGGAGTGAATACAATACATGTGCACACACCACTTTTCAGTCTGCAACTTTTTTGTATATTTATTTAAAACATGTGTTCCCCTTTTACCCCCATTAATCTTTTCTTGTAGGTCCAATACTTACAAATGTTTTAAAAAGCCATTTAAATTGCAGATTGTCGGGCATTAAAATGAAGAGAACAGCAAAAGGGGGTGAATACTTTTGTATTTTAATGTTAGGACCTGTAGTAGAAGGTAGCTGTAACTTGAACCGTCAAGTCACTCATGTTGTGTTTTCAGGTGGATGTTCAGTCACATGATGGTCAGACTGCTCTGGGATTGGCTGCTGCAGCCGGTCATCTGGACATCGTCACCATGCTGAGTCAGCACAGAGCCAAGGTAGCTGTCTGTCACTGTGCTGGCTATGTTCCTTTCTGTGCTATTTCCTGTCACCCAGTGAAAATAATCATCTTCATATGAACAAATCTAGTAGGAATAATGTTTCTGCAACTGTCAAACAGCTGATATTACTCATATTTGTTATAAAGTTAATATCTGAAAACCTGACCTTTTATTTACATCGTTTGGTTGTTCAGCTGTAAGTTAGGGATTGGGACATGAACACAGCGCTCTGTCTCTCTGTGGGTTCAGGTGGGTCACACTGACAGCTCAGGCCGGTCGGCTCTGGTTCTGGCAGCGCAGCGAGGTCATCTGGACGTGCTGCGCTTCCTGTTGAAGAGCTCCGACTGGAGCTGCACTTCCTGCTGCCACCAGCAGGGGGCGAGCAGGAGCCAGGCAGTGCAGCAGGGCCTGATTGCAGCAGCCAGCATGGGCCACTCAGAGGTCAGCCACATGTTTCAGATGTCCCCGGACTCTWTGTGTGTGATGAGAGTAGTACTGGTTCCAAGGCTGCTTGTGTTTCACACAGACGGTGTCTTTTTTACTGGACCTCCCTGAAGAAGATGAGGAGAAAGAACAGAGACCTGAGATCAACATCTATGACAGTTTGTGGGGAGAGACAGGTACAGCCTAACACACTCTTTGGATTCTGTTTTGAAACAAATTCACATCTGATAAATGAATATAAATCCTCCTCAGTGTGACGCAGTTCTAAAATAAATCAAGATAAACAATGTTTGAGTTTAATTGGTTAAAAAGTTWAAATTGTCTGAGAGAAACAGAGGATTTAAAATAGTCAGGATCATCATGTGTCAAATTCTAGGCCTGCGGGCCAAATGCAGACTTCTTTCTGGCCCTTAATTAAAAATGAAAATAGTTTTTATATCAATGGTAAATTTTAACATAATGATTCAATACAAACAAAATAAACACATTTAAATGGTGAAGGATACTTGTCCTACCCCTGAGCTGCTAGCTTTAAAGGGCACCTGTTGTGCAAAATTCACTTTTTTCATGTTTTTAAATTAACTTTTGGGTCTGTACTGCTTCTAGAAGCAGTCCAAACACCAAAAAAATACGCGCAGCCGTTATTTGGCAATAATTACATGTATTTTTTTTATCTGGAAACAGTTTAGTTCCCAAACCACRTTATTGTGATGTCACAATAACAGTTACCTACCAACCTAAACCAGAGTCTAGCTCCTCACCTGGCAACCAGTGGAGCTCCGCCCACTTCTTCACAAGACGAAAGTTTGTTCTGCTGTTTTTACAGCAGCCATGGAGAACAGAGATGCCTGGATTCATTTAATTTATTTTTTATCTTTGATGACAATGTTCTAACAATATTGCCAAAGAAAGTTGTAGTTTGTGAAAATAATTTCACTTTGGAAACTTCTACCATTTCGGGGGGCGGAGCTAACGTAAACAAAAGTTTGGGAGAGGTTTTCATAGCAACTTATGCAAAACAGCAGGTTCTGAAGAGAGCTAGCCTGGTAAAAACCAGACCCTGTCCTTCACTTTGCTTCGTACGAGGGTCTGGACTCTCGG